CCCATTGATCGCCTTTTACGATCTCTAGGGCGAGAGTGGGCCTATTCTATCCCCGAACCCACAGGGGTTTTATTTTTATTATTATTATTATTATTATTATTATTATTATTATATTACACCTGTTATACTGTGTGCAATGGTATACCTATACAGTCAACTACATCACCCACCAAAACACCTGATCAGCTAGCTCAAACAAATTAGAATTTTTATAATTTCTCCTCGTATACTTCCGGCATCTGCTACAAAGAAAAATCTTAATATTGACTGAAATTAATAATTTAGGAGACTCTGACCTCGATCAAATTCCTCAGTTTCCAAACAACTTATCAACACCTAAAATAAATCGTGGATAGAAATAGAAACATATGACAGAAGGACTATACGCGGGTCGTACAATTTATTCGAATAAAATACACAATTAATTGATTGACAATGCTAAAAATTTATTCTGAAACACATTAAATGGAAATAAAAACAAAATTCCTGAAATAAAGAGTAGCTTACAAAGCTTGTTTTTACATCGTACTCCGTGCGCAGATGGTCGATAATTAAAAATAAGAAAATCTAAAAATTACAACACCAACTTGATGATAAACGAACTGGCGTGTTGAATACGATGCAGCTGCGCGAACGGTTTAAACTTTCAACTTTTATAAAAAGAGAACCTAGACAGATAGCTCCACGGAGCAATAAATTGATTGTTTTTTTCAACTTTCACAAGGTTTAGACAACTTCAGTTAACTTTCTTCTGCACAGAAATACCAAACCAAAAACTACAATCATCATTAAGGAAGAAGAGCTCGTGCGGAAAAAGCTGCAAAAAGCGATAGAAAGATGCGGTAATTTCAAGGCCAAGAGATCCGAACATACAACTAGAAGTGAGTTCGCCAATGATAATGCATGGTTAAAGAGCGAAATTGTTTTATATAGCAATGATAACGGTGATGAGTACCTAAGGGAGGAAATTGGGCGACGACACCCTGAGCTTGCCAAACGGGTTCAGGGTGTACAGACGTTCAAATGCGGTATGATGATGTTCTGGAAAAATAGGCGGTCTTGAAAAAGGGGGAGACAGCCGCAACGGTAGAACGGTAGAAAAAGATGGACACTTCTTCCTAGCAGCGTGAAGGGAGAATGAGAGGAAGAAAAAGCAAGGGGCGTTTAATGACACCTTAGAGAGGACCACCAGGAGCCTCATAAGAGCAAAGAGTAACAAAATTGAAATATACGCACCATCACAGGGGAAAGACCTAATCAGGAAAATAGCTGAATGTATTACCACAATAAAAGTCTAGTGTACTGTGTGAATAAAGGCCCGGTGGATCGACGAGATTGCTAACAAAAGAGAGATTAAGGGGGCCGTACTGGAAGGCCGCGACACCGCGGAGTAGGTATTTGAAATAAGAGAATCAGAGAACGGACATATGGTCGCAACACTGACGCTACCGAAGAACAAGGAAAACATTATGGACAGCGTACGCCGATTATGAGTGGGCATCACTCGCTGCTACATAAGGAAAATATTTGTTTGTGGCAAGCACAGATACCACCCGCGCGCCTGCGCATGCGCGATCTGCCCAAAAGCTTTTCAGCTCTTTTTTTATGTCTAACAATACTTTGTGTCCCAGGTTGAACGCACCATAGGTAAAAAGAATTATTGATTTTTTCGCAAAGGAGCCATGAGTCCTTTGATATGTACCTATTTGAAGTTCAACGTACATTATTGGGCTTGCCTAATGCTAAAAAGAGATTTGAGTAATACATTGAACGCTACTTTCAAAATCTTCGTGGATCCTTCGCGAAAAAATACATTGCCGCTTCCCCATGGTGCGTTCGATCTGGGACACACTGTATATGTACTAAGTTTGGTTCCAATCGGGTCAGCTGTTTAGGGGAAATGAGAGCAGACATACAAATAGACCGACATCATTGACATTTTGTTTGATTCGGAATGCCGGTGCTTTGAAACGAATTTCCGGAAAAAATGTGGGGGGTCATTTTTTACCCCAATGCGATACCTCCTTTACTAACGTGCAGGTGGTAGAATACTCGTACACCACCCTTAAATCGAATGGCTGTCCGACTTAGGTAGGCGACAACTGAATTGAACCGAGAGTGTAATGCCTGTGATAACAAAAATAAGTGTCTGAACTGCCAACAAGAGGGACACTTTAAAGACAGGTGCGAGAACACAAAGAGGTGTTCCATATGGGCCAAGGCACAGTAGTGGACGATGGCATGTCCACAATATAAAGCGGCCTAAGGAGGGCGGAGAGGGCCAGGAAGCCGCGGAAAGCAGATATCAGATTATCAGAAATGAGGGGAGCGTCACGGAAGGTTCATGCTAAAGACAAAAGAATGGGTCGTCGATTGGGAAGGAGGAAGAGTGGAATTAAATTTCAGTAGAATATTAAATTTGTGAAACGTGTTTTTCATTTCCTGAAAACTTACATTTTTGTTGGTACGCCCTTTTCCCATGATACCTTTCTTTATATCACATTTGCTCTAAATTTGGGTAGATTAAAAAATCATTAAATGCGCCCAATTTATCGTAACGAAGTGTTCCATGTAAACAAAAAACTCGACAGCAACTCATTATTGATCGCATAGTACTTAGATAATGTGTAAAATGTAATATTAACATAAAAAAACTGTTGTTGTCTGCCCTCCCGTAAAACCACTTCTCCCCATGGGTTTCTTTCAGGCGGTAAATAGAAATCATAATTTAAATTTGAACAGACCTCACTCGCAAGAATAAAAATTATAACAAGGAAAACCACCGCCTTGGCCGTTTTTCGCACACCTAATTGAAGAATTAATTGGACATAAAACTTTTCCAGCATTTGCATTAAAGAGTGAAGGCCCACGAAAATTAAAAGATATATTATGCATTAGCTGCAAACCACTTCTGAATTCTCTTTACGACGAATAATATTTACGAAATACGTAGTAACAGTATGATCGAGAAATCGACATTGTGACCGTAATTTAATCTGATCTGATTTATTATAATCACCTTTTCTAATTTCGTGACTGCTATATATTCAGTACTTAAAAAAATCCTTGCATTCCTTTCGAGAAATGCGGATGATCCCAATGATGTAAGAATGCAAAGTAAAACAAATCACACGGGCCTAATTTCCTAACGCATTCTTTTGCATCACGAACACTTTGAAAGTAAATAAAAGTTTTACAGCCTATTTATATAGGGCCTATGGCTAATTTCAATATAACACCGAGAAGCTTGTTTCAAATATATTAAGTTTGACATTTCAACCTGGTGCCAGTTTGGTTGTTAACTAATAATAGTAACAATGATGATTATTGCAGTACATATTTTTGAAACGCCTCATTTATAGAACAAAAATGCCGTTACCTTCATTAAGCTCCTTAAAATAAAGGTGCACTATACTCATCCTAAAGGCATTTCAAGAATGAATTGTTAGTATTTAAAGTTATATATATATTTAGTGTCGTCTGTAATATTTGTTCCCTTGAAACACTCCATTTCAAAATTTGTGTTGCTATTGATATACAATATAGATAAATTAAAGTAAAAAATAATGAAAACCTAGATGAAAACCCTCTAAATAGTAAATCGGTAGGTACCTACGCTTCATGTGTAATTTAATAACTTTCCATTCCGTTGTGTCAAGGGTGAGTGAGAGAAGGGTTGTATGTATGGAATATGCATTACTGGTGACGAGAGACATATCGAAGTTTAAAAATACATGGAAATAAAATAATCCTGAAGGTTGTGCCTAGATGTTGAAATATTGGCACTGATCGATAAGTGGGTAATGCTTAAAGTTTTCCTTTACGTCAAATACTCGACAAATACAATATTACCGGTAGACCACTTAAATCATTTATTGGTAATCTCGTAGATTGTATCAAGGTAACAAATCGCGTCATTCACTTACTTCTGACGAATTTGACGGAGGACAATATTTTAGATAACGTCTTGAGTGGTCCTGTTCACCTTAGAAACAATTGATTAAGTGTTCCGACTAAAAATAGTTGATGTAAATGGCGCGTTGATAATATTGCTTTTATGAATACTTAGTATCTCCCTTCTAGTGGTAGATGGGATCACTCAAGATTTAGTTGAAGACTTCATGGAGATTTCTTCACCTTTTGGTTAGGTAAATATGAGAGGTCCCTGAAGTTGGCAAGAAAAGTAGGAATTCGGAAATCGTTCAAAGTTTACAGCT